TTCATTTAATGCTAAAATGATTGTAACTGGATCAATCAGTTCAGTACCATCAGGTATCCCACCAACTATTATACTGATAACAGCTGAACCTACCACTGTCATTACTGATGATGAAGAGTTCACTTCTTCACGAACTGGAAAGAAGTTTGTTTTCTTGTATAAAGTTGATGCTACATCAATGTTCTCACTCTTTATAACATGTTTAATGTTCTTTGGCAAAATCACTTTTGCAATAGATGCCAAAGAACTCAAATTGTCAGAAGTACTAAAATTTAGTCCAATATCTATCCATAATATATATATATCTTTATACATGATTTTGTGTTCGTACACATACTTACTAAAAGCACTGGCTGATATTGTTAATCCAATAAAATTAGCTCTTGCAAACTATTTTCATTATAATCAATCATTATATGTAGCAAATGCAATAGTCTTACTCTTTCTGCTCTAAACAAAATGTTTTCTTCAGCAATTTTAATCACTGTAAAATTTTCCTGTTTAAATACAACCCGTATGAATTCTTCAAATGATTGAATTATACTAAAATGTGCATTTAAACATATAAATTGTGCTAACTTGTAACTCACTTATTGGATAAAACATTAGTCACATCCATGGACCATTCCACTAATAAATTGAGTGTTTGTACAATATTTCCTGTTGTCTATTACACATATGATATCACTATAAGTATCAATTAATCTACAAACTTACTTCAATTATTAATGGCAAATTTTTTATATTCAAAAGAACAGATACTATTGCTTCCAATACTGTTGATATTATGTTAATGTTTTGAATGTTTTGGTCTGCAACAGTACGTGTTGCATTTTCCACTAAACTGCTCATATTGAAGGCTGCTGAACCAAGATTATCAATTGTAATGTTTACCTGAAACATATTAAATAGGGTATTTACATCTAACCACAATCATAATTATATTATTATATTACATACTTTAGATAATTCAATGAATCCATTTGTAACATCAGTAGTAGCACACATCATCACATCTGGTGATTCCCAATCAGAAGAAGCAGAGCATATTCTACTTGCTGTAGTTCTATTAGGGCCATTAGGACACAATATGGTAACAGTCATTCCAGCTAGTGTTAGCGGCCAGTCAAACTGACCACGATCAGTGGTATTAGTCTGGGGATGGCATGCATGAGTATGGATTGAAGTTGTTGAAGGAAGTGGTGATGAGATAAAAGTTGTTTTAGAAGTTGATAGAATGGACAATGATGGTGATGATGAAGTAGTAGTTGGGGAAGATAAAAATAATGAGGAAACTGTGGTCAAAGGTAAGCAACATTTTGATGAATTAGCGCAAACTAGTCTAATAGTATTAGAATGACATATATAAGTGGAAATTAATGTTGATGAAGGAAGTAGCAATGATACACTTAATGACATTGAGGAAGTGTGAAATGTACTTGGATTGATTATTGGGGAGACAGAACTTCGTTTTATCGGAGTGGAAGATAATGTCATTGAAGTTGACTTGGGTGATGCCAAAGATAAAGATAATAATGAGGAAGATGAAGTATGAAAGGAAGTAGTT